GGGATGAACATTGGGGAGCCCTTCACGAGTCTTCCGAGGAAGATCACTGAGCAAAGACCGCCTGAGACCAAGGTTCTAGTTTATCATATTGGATTTTGAAAGAGAGGTTCTTGACCTCACTGGCCCCTGCTAGCATTTTTTTTGTAGTGCATTGTTCCTCCAAACCTCACTAATATCCAAAGTTTGGCCTTCCTTTTCAAATCCTCTGAACTTCGACTCTAGGTCTATGTCACCTTGCATCTGATCGATTCTTTGATTTTCTCTTAGTCCATCGAGCAGTAAGAGTCAAAAGCAGATTAGATGGACTCTAAGCTACTTTTCTACTCACCGTCTCTTCATAGGTCGAGGTATAGGGAGGGACAGGGTCCCATCCCCTTGAGGAGTCCAGGTGGTTTTTTCAAGGATATTCGAGGGCTCAGCTTGGTGGACGACATCATCAGCAGGCACAGAAGTTCGTTTGTTTATTCTTTTTTTTTTGTTGGGAAGGTTTGGGAGAGTGTGTAAAGAAAAGAGTGAGGAAAAAAACTTTTGCTGAGAAGAAGAGGACAAGAGAGGAAGAGGTAGGGGAAAATAAGGGGGTAAAGAATTGGGCAAGGGGTTAGAAAAAGAGGGTCCCCGAGAGACAGGGATCGAGGAAGGGTGCAAGAGGGAAGAGAGAATAGAAGGGGGAAATGAGGAAACATAGAGGAAAGGAGGAAAAGAGCGAGGCAGGGGGAAGGGGAAAGGGAAAGTGAATAAAGGGCATTAGCGAAGGGGAAAGAGATGTTAAGGGGAGAAGGCGAGCTTTTATGCTGACCTAGGAATCTGCCAAGGATCTTGAAGAGGAATTGATGGTTGCGCTCACATCCAAAGGTCCCGTGTATGATGGTGTATGCTTGGCATCTAGGGACTCACGGCTTTCTGCAAGATAAGACAATTGACAAGCCACTAAAGCGGCATGAGATCCATCAATGGATGAGGTCTCCTAGATCTTTTCCAACTTGGAAGCCAAGTTGCATCTCACCATTAGATGTGAAGGGAGATAGGGTATCGATGGGGGATAAGAAGAGAGAGAGAGAGAGAGAGAGAGAGAGAGAAAGGGTGGGAGGAGATAACATTAGGGGTCACTGTGTGAGTCGTCAATCTGTGGTGACTGGACGATGGGAACAGCTCCTTTTGAATGGGGTTGTTCTGGGGACACATGTGATTACTTTATTATCAAGGAGATGAGGGAAGGGGGAATGTGTAGCTTTGTCCATTGTCCAATGTCCCAATGGTTGATGGATTGTCCAAATGCAACCTTTCCTAGGTGGCAACATGAAAGCCGTCAGATGCAAGGATCATGGGTGCTTGTTAAGCAGCCTGTTGGGGCATATCTAGAGGCGAGTCACTGAAGGGGATAGGGACCACTACACCAGTCACATGCGCAATCGCAGTTGTGATGTGTGCAAATGGGCATGTGCCTCTGACTGCGTCATGCGTAGGTGGGGAACGTGGACAAGCCAGAGCCACTCGATTGAAGGACGGCCTGCGAATTGTCACCCAACTTAGGTGAAGATGGGAGGGACCTAATGCTCATCCCATCATGGCCGTTAGCTCCTATGTTTGTGCTTGGAGGGTTAACGAGAGACATCGTAGGCTCTTGAACCAAGATAGATCTAGGGGAAGAATGGTTATTCAATTCTCTAGGCTGGGGTGGACATCGGCCAATTCTTATGGACTTGGATCGTGCCAAGGGGATTTTAGGATATGAGTCTTAAGATAGACGACTGAATTGAAAAGTGTCATCCTCTTCCTAGGGAAATCGCTAGCTGGCCCATCCCCCATTTGAACTCAAATTTGAATTTGAATTCAAAATAGGGGATATTTCACTACTTATAGAGATATTATAGAAGGGTAGCATTCTCTCATTGGATCCTTTTTGCTGACTACGATCCCTTCTTCTTTTTTTTTCCATCACAAGGGAATGATTGGTTGGACCAAAGTTTTGATTGTTATTGCTATGGAGCACTATGTGCCACTCCCCCAAATTATGTTGGCGAGAAGCAGAATCGTAGTCCCAATCTATAGAGGGTTGTTTTTGTGCTTCCAATCACAGTGGTGGTGGTATAGGTAGCCAAAACATCTCAAACCCTAAAGTTCATAGGCGATGGAGACTAGGGATAGACAATATGTTGCGAGGAGCCTTGAGTTTTTTAAAATGTATGAGGGTTTGTTGCAACAATCAACATTTGTAACGGTCATGTGTGGAAGGAGCCCAAAGGATTCCTACTTTACCTTGATAAACTCACCACAAAGGTTGTCAATGGTTATCAATGTACTGTTGTGCCAAACATGAAGGGAATCCCCTTTACTATTATTCATACTTTTTTCCTTTATAGAGCTCCAACCGTTGTAGACCAAGGCGATAAATAGAGCATGGCCCCATTGGAACACAATGTCAATGGCTGGATTTCCATACTTGCGTATAAGATGGGAAGGAGTCATAAGATTTTTTCACCTATGAATTGCCAATAGATAATTTCCAATGAGTTCCAATGGGCTTGAGTTTACAAAGTTATGGATATGATGTCATGGTGTAGGGGATGGAGAGCACCCAACAAGGACGATTGCAAAAGGTCCAATCTTTCAAAAACCACATCCTCGACCACCATCACAAAGGGATTTGCATCTTTTCAATAGCCCTGGGTATTTTGCGGTGATTTACTAGAAAGTAGTTTGGTGGAAACAAGGCTTGTCTTGTCATAACTAGCTGTGGGAGCAATTTCAGCTATAGTATTAGGGTTCGCATCCAGGGGCTAGGGGTGGCAACATGTCGGGCCCAGTCCTAGTCAACCCAGACCCAACCCAACTAGGTTCACCCAGACCGGGGCCCAACATGAGCCCAGGTTGGGTTTGAATCATTTGGACCAAAACCTAACCCAGACCTGGGTCTATAAATTAAAAAAAATAAAATGTTATTTTAATATTATTTAGTATATATATTTTATACCCGGGTCGGGTCGGGTCGACCCCAACCTAGACCCGACCTAGCCCAACCCAATAAGGTCCATGCCGGACCCAGACCTGGTTCGAGTCCAACCCAACCCAATTGCCAACTACTAAGGGCTCTTCATGGAACCTAATAAATTAGACATAAAAGAGCTTCAAATATTGGGTAAAGGGGGACCACGAGGTTGTGGCTCATTCGATTAGGTGGTCCTAGTAGTTTGGTGAGGCATTTGGTGCTTGAAAGGGAGGGTTAACTATAGGTGGATGAGGCTGATAGGACTGAAACCCGAGGTTGAACATTTTAAGGGATGATCCATCCCTAGTAATTGAGGAGAGAGGAAATTTTGAGATAGGAAGTTGCTTACATGCCCTTTTATTTTTTACATTACTATAAAACATTTTCATTGAACCGATAATCAAACCAAAATTCTAGTTAAAATGTCTTTAACTAAACGAACCAAACACAAAATTCCTTTCTTGAAATGATCCCTATAATGCTATCCTATAAAAAATAGATACCTCCATTACTGAATGTAATCATTTAAGCCATGATAAGGTTCTTTTTCCTTAGTTTGAAATCACAAAATATTGTCAAAATTAAAGACTGTTGCAGCATCAATCAAAAGTAACACAGCAGTAGACTTATTCTTAGCCATGGTAAATTAGTAGCACAAACATTCAAGCGGAAAAAGGCAACAAGAACCCAATTAATGGCTCCCAAGGCCACGAGAAAATATAAAGGTCAAGAAATATACAAAGGACGGCCAAGTGGCATGGGTGATTATGTTCATTTATTATTACATAGTTGTTCCCGTCCAAGGAAACAATTAAGGGAAAGCCCGATGATGTCTAGATGGTTGTTAGCCGAGGACTAGACTAAAAGGGTATGAAAATGTAACATAGTGTATAAGCCTAGGTAACTGATGCCCGCTATAGTATTTTACTATTTTACCCTGCAATCAAATGAATCCAGGATACACAATAGAGGGAAAGATTCAGGGAAAAGGAATTTTAGATTTTCCCAAAAGCCAACACCATCCATGTTCTCCTCAAGCCCATAACCAATCTATGAATCAAGGTAGCATTATAATTTACTTTACAGGTGCACCATAAGGCGTGAATTCAATTGTTCCATCATGGCATTGTTTGGAACAAACAAAGCCCATAACATCACTACATAATGAAGAATAATCACATCATTAAATCAAGGGCTTTGATGCAATCATAGTAAGTGTACTAACAGCTTAACCACCTAAGTTCACTAGACCACTTCAGTCCAACAAGAAGAAGTTTTATTGAACCATATGGAGTACTGTAGTTTTCTTTCCTTTTAAAAAAAAAAAAATCATTTGCAAGTTATTAATATAGTATGGTCAAGCAATTACTATTTTCTTATACCAAAGGCCACCAAAGGTTTCACATACCAGGCAAAGTAGACTGTCTTGTGGAGCCCACATTTTTTTTTTTTGTTCATATACCTTGTCGGTCAGATAAGCATAGGTTCATTTCATAGTTTCTCCATTTGGATAATAGAAGATGTTATCTTTCATGTAATCCTAAAAATAAAACACAGAAAACATTTGCAAATTACCTGATCCTGATTTATTATACATGAAGCAAAAAGACGCTATGTTTTCTTGAATATGCATAAACATGTTATACGTATGTATGTATGTGTGTGTCTACACACACAGACATATATTTACATATCCGTACATACATACATATAAATACACATATATACACATACACACATTCAAACACACACACACACACAAATATATATATATATATATATTTCTTTTTTTGGTTAGTTCAGTGGTAGTTCTATAGTTTGCTTCATTTTTTTACTCAAGAAAATATGGTGTGCAATTGAATTACATACTAAAGTGATTGGATGATTCTGTATGCAATTGTTGTAACAGGTGTAGGAAAAAAGTGAAATTGTGCATCACAGTATAACACAACAAATAAAATGGCGACTCCAAAAAAGAAGAGACTGAAAATCAAGCAAGGTAGAGATAACTCACATAGATTGTATCAACGATTGCCACCACCAGTATTGCATAGCCAGCATTGTAATTGGGGAATTTGTGAAGAAGCTTCCTTGCAATGAACACACAAAAAATTGTAGCAGGAACAATTATGAGCAGAATGCTTAAAAGGAGTGACCTTGCATCTGGCCCAAAAACCAATCGTCCACCAAAGGAAAACCTCTGAAATGGAAAACAAATAATACATAAAAAATGCAAACAATAATATGTTAATGAAGTCCGAAACGAACAATTGATACAAACTAGAATACCCCTTAAAACTGTTGTACCAACATATCTTACACATGAGTGTAAATATAACTACAAGGTCTCATACTGGTTTTGACTATGAGCCTCAACATTGATAATTTATGATCAATATTAAGATAAAAAAGCCGCATTGGTCTTTGCTTAATGTGCACGAGATCGCATCAGTAAGAAACAGACTTTGAAAAAAAATAAGTAGAATGCAGAAAACAACAGAAGAAAGTTGTGGCCAATAAGGATTAACTGCATCAGGCCCTCTATATATCATCCATCAAATCAAAAAAAAAAAAAACAGTTCCATATAAAGTCCATTTACTGAAGCAAATCTCATATACCACTTTCTCAATCGACCAGCAAACACAGATAAAGATACAAATAAACAATAATAACTAACCACTTTACAAGCAAAAAAAAAGAAGTCCCAAATCACATGATAACAAGAGAGATAAAAGTTCATATTAATTTACAGACAAAATGGAACAGAGAATGGGTGTGATGAACCAACATTGTTTCCTTTCCAAACTTCATAAACTCGTTTGGCCATGGGAGTTAGAGAGAGAAACTGGTCCGGTGTTCATCTTCTAGAGTGAGAAACGGCCATGGCTAGTGGCATCACCAAAGGAATAAAATACAGTTTCTCTCTCTAGCGGTTGGAGAGAGAATGGAAGCGGGAATGAAATGCATGATAGAGAGAGAAGTTCCCGGAGATATAGGCTACAACCCCCATGCCCCCTACACGTTCTGCCGCCTATTCATTAATGGCAGGAAGAATGCTTGTGAAATGACCATAATACCCCTCTGTATTCCTTTTTTAGGAAAACCCAAATAAAAATGATATATGCTTACTGTGATCAGCTATCAGGACCTGGATTAAAGTGCAGAGAGAGGGACCTTAGGCGAGAGGAGTAGTTTGACTCTGGTTTTAATGGAAGAAGAGAGAGAGAGAGGGAATTAAAGAGAGGGATTTGGAAAACTGGGTGTGAGAGAATTGGGGAGGACGGTGAGGGAAGAGAGAGAAGAGGGAAATTGAACTTTGGTTTTAATGGAGGGAGTGTTTTGTTGTGGAACAAGATTATTGAGAAGGAATGATCTTTGCGTTTTGATAGGGGAGGAATTTATCGATAGAGAGAGAAAGAGAGACGAACTTTCAGGAGCCGGCGATAACCATGACAGGGGTAGGGAGATAATAGGCTAGCTGTTAAAGAGTCAGATACTTGAGCTCGTGGCTTGATTTGGAAACTAAAACGGATGCCTATAAGGCTTAGGCTTTATGAAAATCAAATAAAGCCTCACCTCAAATCCTTGCCTCGAATAACATCAAAACTTCTCACGATAGTTATAAAATCAATTTTTAACAAGAATAAATGATTCAGATAAACAATAGAAGATCTATTTTTTAAGGTAAAATAAACGGTTTAGATAATTTTTTACAATATACACTTTTTTTTATAGTTGAAATATTAAAAGACAAAATTATGTCATAATATTGAAGTTGAGATGATCGATTTAAATGTTTTTCAAACATTTGAATTGCAATATACAATAAGCTATGAAGTAAGGCTTTTTCATTTATTTTGATAGGGCTGCAACGCTATTAAAATATTTTTCTATAAATCAATATAAAAGGGAATTTCAAGTAGGAGTACTAGGGAAAGGGGATGGGCCCTATCTAGCTTGGCCAAGGAAAAGGAGAAAGGATGTAGTTTTAATGTTGAAAAACCCTTTGATTGATCATGTCGACATCGAGATATATGACTATGAAAATAAAAAGACTTTAAGTCTCAAAAATACTGCATTTTACAACATATTATCTACACCATCCATTTAAAATATTTTCATATGCTTATGGATCTACTTGATTTTGACCATTTTTAAAATTTAAATTTTATAATTAGATATAAAAATAGATTTTGAGATACTCCTAAAAATATTTTACATCAAAATTATATACTATGATAAAATTTGAATGTGCACCTTACCTCTACACCTACGGATGCATCCGTATGCAAGCTGCACCCTTATGTATTATATTAATATTGTTGTGCAGTCTTGGTGAGAGCACCACACCTTTCGGGCTTCCTTTGCTTTTTCATTTCTTTTTTGGGCTTCCATTACTTTCTCTAGTTCTATTAAAAAGTAAGGCCTATTAATAAAAGAATTTCATTCACTTTAATGTCCTTTCTTAAATAAGGGCACTTGTACTATGCTTTTTCGAGAAAATAGCTTATTTCTACTCCCTAGATCAGCACTACATAGAAGGAATTTTTTATCTGATATTGACATTTTAGGAATTACTTAAGAATCACTAGATGATTATCCTAAAAAAAAAAAATTAAAATTTTTTGACACTTATATCTCACCACCTTAAAATTAAATGGTCGCTATTGAATCTCAAGACATTATTTTTTCAAGTGTACAAGGTATACACCTAAGATTTTTTTTAATTGAAATTAATATATTATGAGATGAATACGTTATGTCCTCAAAATTTGAGATGCTAAAATAAGTTCTATATGAGATTTTAATCGAAGAAGTAAATAGACATTCTACTCGTAACTATCTTTTGATTCAAATTCAAATTCAAATTCAATGGTTGGTTTGTTTGTTTACACTTTATACTGTTCTAAAAATTGACGTGAGACACTTCTGCAAATGCCCCCAACGACCCACGACTGGTTCCTGACGATTAGCTAGTGCATTAGATGTACCTTCACAATAGATAAGAGCTGAAAAGCAAGTTCAAATTCTAGAGAGAGGAAATGAGATGAAAGTAATTTTTAGAGAGAGAAACTAATAAATTATGTGGTGTCATCTTGGTGCAGGTAGTGGATTTTTTATTAAGGAAAAGTATTGTATGGATCAGGGGAATATTCATCTTAAAGATGGTCTTCACGAAAATGGATCTGACCAAAATTTAAAATAGATGGTATAAAGAAAAAATTAGAATCACTTTTAAATTAAGAATTTATTATTTTTAACATTCGTAATCACTAAAATTTTGGGTCCCAAATCTATATTTTAAATAAATTTTGGAAGGGGACGCAAATCAAAGGAGGAGTCCACTCATAAAACCCCCACCCCCTTCTATGATGAGGGCATGTAATTATGCCCCTGCGGGAGGATATTGTACAGTTAGTCCCATTGATATAAGACTAATTTGGAAGATATTTTTTTAAAAAAAATCGAAAGTTTGAAAACCACCTAAAAATCAATAGATGATTATATTTAAAAGAAAAAATTTAATTTTGAGTTTTTTAATACTCGGATCTCACTTTTAAAAAAAAATATGATGGTGTATGTTCAATTTAGAGGCATTATTTCTTTCAAGCCCATAAATAATGCAATTTAGAAACTTTTGCATTGAGTATAGCATATAGGCAGCCCGATTGGGTTTGCCGAAGGAGTAAATGTACAATATGCTCCGTCAAGAGCATAAAATCATTTGGGGGGGGGGGGGGGGGGGGTATCAATTGGTGGTCATGTCAGTCCATACCGATCTAAATCTTTGAAGAACCAACTTTCTAGAGGATATCTTCTCCGAGAAGATTGGGTGCATAAATTATTTAAAAAATAAATTTTATCATAAATATCTTTTTCTTTTTTTTTGTGGAATTACTTACAATTTTACGTGAAATGCTTGCTTTGAAACCGGTGGTTTAAAAAACAGATCGGTGACTCGGATTGGACATCGTAAAAAATTGGTCTAGATTTATTGTGCGAAAAAACTAGTGAACAAGCAAAAAAACACGTGCAAAAATAGTGAACCGGCCAAAAACTAGTCCATATTAAAAGAAATACCTATGTAATTTTTTGCCAGGGAAATACAATTTTTTTTTACTTTTTTTTAATAATAATCACCCCTTATAATTTTGGAAACAATATCACTCGCAGATGGTCTTATTACAAACAATAGAAATTCCAAAAATAAATAACACATCAATAAAATAAATCTCAACTACTTAATACCATTCATACAACCTAATATTGTGCTTGACAATATGAAATAAATAATAAGTAAGTATAAGATAAAGATGTCGGAGATTACCTCAACCGGTCTTCTTACACCTCACACCGAGTCACCACATCCAATGGTACGGGATCTGCGATCTAGCTTCATTTTCGAATGGAGAAAGCTAATTTCGGCTAAACTATGTAACCACCCTTAATTATTCACAAAACCCTAACCTCCAAAAATAACTTAGCCTTCCCTCTAATTTCTACCACCCTTAGTTTCTTCTTAGGTCTAGGGAAAAAAAGAGTAGTAGTTAGAGTTGGGCCGTGGCCCCCCTTTGAAACTTTGGGATAGAGAGGGTTAGAGAGAGAAACTCAGAGGAGGGAGAGTGGGGCGTGCCCCTCAAAGAGATAGATATATTGTTATTATTATAAAAATGGGAAAGAACTCCCCTATTTATATAAAAAAATAAGATCTAGGGTTTATTTGGGATTTCCCATAGTTTACCTCGAGATTGAATCTGTACCAGGGATCACGATGACTTGTGGGGTGAGAAATCTGAGTCATCAATTCAATAAATGGGCCATCAACATTATGGAATATGCTTTGACCATTATCCCCCTTTCCTTAAACTATTTTCCCATCAATATATTTAGATCATGCATTCCATAAAAATAGCATGATCATATCACATATTCTATAAGGATATATAAAACATCATCAAGTAAATAAATACTACCAGAATTTTTAAACAAAGTCAATGTTTACCATCTATTCAAATTGACCATATCTCTTTTAAAGCATACTTATCATATTACAAAATATGTCATTGCCGCTATATCGTTTCCAATATTTGACCACATGCCTCAAATCAAAATTATCATAATCTTAAAGACCTTGATCACAAATAAACAAAAGGAATCCAAAGGGTGGGGCGTGCCACCCCTTTGTGGCATGTGTGGGGCCCCACCCACATGCCACATCATGTGTAATTTGGGCCTCCACGAAATTTTATATAAAAAAATTTAAAATTAAATAAAACGAATTAATATATATTTGAATTTTTACAACTTTGTAAAATCATTATAAGTCAAAAAATCATAATTAAAATATTGAGAGATTCATAAAAATTCAAATAATAAAACTAAAATCATTTCAATAATAAAACGAACACAATTAATTAATATGATGGGAAAATGATCCATATGGTTTTGGTTTTAGAAATTCAATCTGTAATAATGGGGTACTCCACCTTTAACAGTGGACTACAGACCACACTATCTTTATCGAACCGACCAAGTGTTTTCCATGACCCATAGTCCAAGCAGGGGCTCATTAGCGGGTCACAAAAGTTAGATCGATGAATCAATGGGTCGCAATCCTAGTTTGTGGATTACAGGTCATTCCCTAGAGACGAGTCAAGGTCACCACGATCTGATGCGACCACAGTTCTATGGTGCATAAGGGTATCTCTCGCACATGCATACGCTTCACCCAAAGGTAGATATCTAATTTTCCCGAGCGATCTATCAATATGCATGCCATGTGATGGAACATAGATGAGGTTTTGACCCCCGTCTCAATAGGCCTACCATCACATACAAGGGTCACACAGTCCCTCGACACTCTCATCTAGGTATAAGCTCCGATCTCATCCAGGGCTAACCCAAAACCCTAATCGGTTAATTCTTTATGCCCAGGTACCTTGGGTTTTGCAACCGACTAGCCTAAATCGGTAAGCACAGTCCGGTATAAGTAAACATCATTCGCTTAATATGGTACTCGAGGGACCACACTCCCACTAAGTTTATGTTTCACTATAATAAAAGTATTTCAATACATATTCATAAGGCCTTTAAATGACACATAAACCCAAAACATATCAGTGAATCGGCATTTTATTACAGCAAATTGACATTTCTACTGTAGCAAAATGACATTTCTACTGTAGCAAATAATCAGTTCTCTTTTAAGTCTAGACGATTTCGTATATATTGACATAATCGGCACTGGGTGATGGATTCCCAAGTTGGATGAGGTGATTCTGTGCCAACCTAGCATTTTTTAAATCAAGGTTCCAAATTAAATTTCAAACTGCCATGTTTGAATGGCTGATCCTGACCTAAAGTTCTATGTGCTTGAGTATATACAGTGCATCGCATGACGCAATTCTACCATATTTGTACAAAAAGCAGTGGTCTCACCAAAGAATAAAACTAAAGGTAAAAAATTGTTCTTCAAAAGACGTCATTTTTAATTTTTAAAATTTGTTTTTTCTCAATTTATAATGCCATGATAGAGAGTATATAACATTACAAATTAGAAAAATTTTATACAAATGAGGCTCTAAATAATCAAATTGGAGCCCATCTAAAATATTTTACGATAAGAGGTTGTTTTGATGCCAAAATACCCTCAAATTGATCTTCTCGACATCAAGATGCATGGATATAGAAAAAAATGGATTTCAAGTTTTAGAAATAGTACTTCTTTTTGGATTGTTAATTTTCAAAATTTTCAATGTCTGCTTGATCTACATTGTTTTTTAAGCTTTAAATTTTATAATTAAAGATGAAAATATATTTTAAGGCTATGACAAAGATTTCAAGTGTTAAAACTACATTTCTTGATAGTATTTGAAAGTGCGTTTTACATTGATTGGTTATAGCCTCGGCTCTATACAAATAGCACCCTTAAAAAATAGGTTCAAAATCCATCTAAAAAATGGATCATGAGGAGAGGATGCACATCTATATATGAGTCAACAAAGATTTCAAGTGTTAAAACTACATTTCTTGATAGTATTTGAAAGTGCGTTTTACATTGATTGGTTATAGCCTCGGCTCTATACAAATAGCACCCTTAAAAAATAGGTTCAAAATCCATCTAAAAAATGGATCATGAGGAGAGGATGCACATCTACATATGAGTCAATAGACTCGTTACAAACCTACAGTCCACTACAGGAGTTCATAATTGGACCACGCAATTCTAATTTATGGATTTCAGGTTCTCCCTTAGAGACAAACCATGATTTTCGAGACTATGATGCAACCACAACTTTGATGATGCATAGGGATGATCTCTCACATGTACACGCTTTACACTCAATAGTGAATCTATGTACATGTTGTGTGATGATATAACAATGAAGTTTTAACTCTGTCTCTAAAGTCTACTCATCATATACAAGGGTCACATAGTCCCTTGGTTCTCATCTAGACATACTCCGACGACCTCATCAGGGGCGAACCCACTAAACTCTTATATATTGAGTATTTTTAACTCGATTGCCCTAGCACGTCGAGCCTAGTCCGAGTATGACCATATAGTATTTGCCTAGTATGGTATACAAGAGGACCGTACTCCCACTGAGTCTATGTTTCATTATATAAAATGCTCATACAAGCTTTCATATGGTCTTTAACGACCGCATAAACCTAACAATGATCACATAAAAATCCGGTTGTACATCTTCATTTTGTCCACCCAACTATAAGTTTATGTACGACATCTTATTCAATCTCTTGTTTTTATGGGTTATCAACCCAAGATCATTTTTCATGGATTATCAACTCAAAATATCGAAAACACGATTTTTTTGGTATTTATTTACCTTTAATCTTAACTACTTCATCGATTATACTTATATTATTATTAAACCTGCATTTCATATACTTTTTTCTTAGTTCGAATAATTTTAAAACCTTTAGGTTCTACAATATCCCTTCAAAGTTCTAACTTTATGTTAATGCCTAGGGTCTTATACATAAAAACTACTTGTTTAGCGAACAACATAAACCACAATACTTCATATTATAGGCGCTTAATTAAATCGTCCATAACTAAAATGATTTAATTATCCAATGTGTTAAAATAATATTTGACGTTTTTCTCTAAAGCAATACATGAGCTTGGAATTAGAGAGTAATCATAGAAAGGAAAGAAAAAGAGATACCATAGAAGTGTTGGAGAGCTTAGATAATTGTAGAAAGGAAGGAAACATAGATACCATAGAAGTCCCATTTAATTAGGAAATAAATCTTATTATTAAAGTGATTAAAAATAGAATCGGATAGTTATCCAAAAAAAAAATATTTTCATGCGGACTTGACTGCATTTCTACAGTGTGGTTTAAAAGTATAAAGCGTCCATCTTAAAGATGGACACAAATAGGTAATCCATCTAAAAACAATTGTATCGGTCCAAATGCTTTTTTAATATAATTTTTATTTTTATTTCTTTCATATTCATGATTGAAGATTATATTCTTTGAACATTAAGACCAAACTATATTTAAAAATATTTTTATTGTCAAGTTCGCATTCGTACATTATGCGGGCTGGCTCAGTGTGCGCAAAACCGGCCGGTTAGAACCCGAACCGGTCGGTTAGATTGCCACCGGTGGGGTGGCGATTGCGGTTAGGGCCGGTTTTGCGGTACACACATAATAAGAGGGAACTCTAAAAAAAAAATCGAGACCAAAACCGGTCGGTTCAATGTCAAACAGGAGGTTTTTCTTCAAAACCAGCCGGTTTTCCTAACCGGTCCAGTTTAGTGTTGTTTTTTGTGCGTTATAATACCGTTATAACACATCAAATAATGGCTGTTATTTGACACATGCCCGTTATTTTCATAGATCAAGATTTTGTAGCTTTTTTTTCTTCCATTTTGTAGTTTTTTTTTCTTCCATTTTGTAGTTTTTTTTTTTGTTTTCAATCAAATATTGATGTTATACACCGTAAATTTTATATAGATTATCTATTATTGAATCAAAAGTAAAAAAACAAACAGTTCTTGGCGGATTGAAATAGGGATTTTTGAAAATTAGAAATTTCCTCCATTCTATCAAATACAGCTTTAATACCTCATATATTTTCATAAAAATGGAGGGCGTTGATTGATTGTTGAAGGATTCAGTGTTTACATATTTCAATTTTTCCAAAACGATGAAGATTTGAGGTTTTTTTGGGTCCGAAGTACTGCTGCTTGAATAACTATTTTTATCCAAACAAATTGATTTTTGAACTATCAATTAATCGATTTTTATCAAATTAATCACTGAAGTTTGATCATAAAGTCCTTATCTATCAAATAAACTAGTTATTTTGATTTACTATTGATTAAATTTTTTTATATCGATTTTTTTTTGCTACGTTTTTTCCTGAATTTTTCATGAAGTAAAAAAATTGCAAATTTTTTAATAAATATCTCAATAGTGAATAAGTTTTCATGAAATTTGGAGCATTTGAATCTTAATTAAAGCATCTATCATATTCCCATATCAATTTATTCAAAAAATGAAAGATTTGGGGTTGATTTTGACTCTAAATTTTATGTATTCTTTGGCTCGATTTTAACGTTCTTAAAACAATTTTTTTGAAAATAAAATTACGTTTTGTTTTTATAAAAATATGAATTTTGTGATGAATATGAGAAAAAACAATATATTATTTTTTTCTAAATTTATATATTTTTCGTGAGCTTGTTGGATTGTTTTTAATGTTATATATTTATTTACAAAAATATATTTATTTGTGATAAATATGAGGAAAAAATTTGTTTCTTTTAATATTATACACTTTTGGTGAGCTTGTTGGATTGTTTTTAATGTTTTATATATTTTTTTATAAAAATATTATTTTTTGATGAATATGAGAAAAAAATTATTTATTTTTAAGGTAATTTTTGGTGTATATTACTTATGTCTGTGTTCTCAACTTCTTGTTTAGTTGTGACATTTCTTCTAATTTATTTTTTTATTTGTTACAAGCTATCTATCATTTGTTGCAACTTCATATTCCTTAAATCTATTTACTAGCATCTATGAATAAAAGAGGTATAAACTAAAAAGTGTTTTGCTCATTTCTCATGTTTCCACATATTGAAATGGATAAAAACTTAGCCTGTTTTTATTTTATTTTAAATATGTATCTTAATTCTTCATTTTAAACTTGCTATCTTATATAATCTTTTTTTTTTATGTTAAAACCCAACTCAAAAGGTTACTATGTAAATGAGGTTTGGCCATTTCAAAACGATTTAGTCATTTCAAAATCGATTTGGCCATATGAAAATCTACTTGACCACATTTTTTTTAAAATATGCGATTTGGCCGTTTGAAGCAGCACTTAACACTTTAGCCACACCTTGCATTTGAAAACCAAGTTACTAAGTAAATGAGGGGCTCTCTCTTACTACCTTGACTCACAACCCTTTGAAAAGCTTAGAACATATGCTACAAAAAAATACACTCTCAAACCCAATTCTAAACCATATTGAAGGGTTTTTCAACATTAAAACAACATTTTTCAACATTAATATTAAAACAATATAGAAGTATATATTGTTGCATTATCTATTGTTAGTTGGACTATCTATTGTTAGTTGGACTTTGTAACTTCACTCATTGAATTTATGTGAAATTATAAATTGTCTTGCATATTTTCATAATATTCAAATATTAAATTATATAAAAAGTTGTATCAATTTTTTTTATAAGATAAATATATGTAATATGATGGTGTATACTTAATCTAAGTTTTTGTGTTTGTTTTTAATTTTTTTTTGAGGATTTTGACTCATTTTTTTTTTTTTAAATCTATTTGATCTCCGGTTCTGATTAGAACGGCTCCCGGCTGTATGACCCGTTTACCGTTCGGGTACGATTTTGTGAACATTGGGCCGGCCGCATAGAAACCGCGACCCATCCAAAAGGAACCTCTTAACTTTACCGGAAGTAAACTTAGCCGGTAAGAAAATTTCAGATTTCGCCGAGAAATGAACGATAAGTCCGAAAACTAAGAGAAATCAATTGAGTTAATTGAATTGCAATTATACCGCTACAAATTCATAAAGAAAGAACTTTCCAGACTCCCCTGCCCCTTCTTAATTTTTTGATTTTCCATCCCTAGCTCTAATTCTTCTTCTCCAAGCTCCATATTCTTCCAACTTTGTATAAATACTGTAGCCCTAAACCTTCAGGTCTATAAACGCTGAAACCCTTAGTCTCGGTCTTCTCACTTTATTTAATTCCAGTCTTTCCATTCCCTCTCTGAAGGTATTAAGTTTTTGTTCACTCTCTCCCTAAAATTTCGAAGAATTTGTTTCTCTCTCTAAGGACATGGCAGTGATATCTGAGTTTGAAGAAGAAGAGCAAAGCCCTGACAACTCTGCTTCCTGCTCAGACGCAGCTGCATCGAGCAATCAGTTCGATGACGCTCTGAAAAGCATTCAGGGTGACCAGCCCCCTCTAGCTTTTCTCGAATTAGTGATCGATTCTCTGAGAAGGAGGTGCGACCTTTTTAAGGATGAAACCGTGGAGAAAAAGATTGCAGGCCTTGTTTCTGCTGCGAAAGTGAAGGATTCGGAGGAGAAGAAGAACAAAGCTCAAGAAAGGAGGTCAGAAGAGATTGGAAAATCTGAGAAACGACTCAAAGAAGACATGGAGACTGTTAAGGCTTTTAATGTTCCTGAGAAATCTGAGAAAGTGCCTGAGAAAGAACCAGAGAAGGCCACTTCTTCGGAGAAACAGAATGTTAGAAGTATGCCCTTTTATGTTCTACATTGTTAATGTTTCTTTGCTTTTCAATTTTGGCTTTTGACAATTTTCCTGTATTTTTATTGTTAGTGGTGTTCTTGTTGTTTGTTTGGTTATATGCTTTTACCGTTCTGCAAAACAATCGATCCGTAACTCAAATGGTATCTTATCAGATTTTTTGTTGTTGCTGTTATAGTTAACTTGTGGTTGCTGTTTTTCTTTGGTCATTAGAGTATATGACCACTTTTTTGGTGGTTGATTGATTTTATGTGCAGACTATATTGTTAGATATTGCTAACGGAGTTGCATGCAACATGTTTAGTTTTTTCTTTTTCTTTTAATTTTATTTTTTATTATTTCATTGCTATTGTTAGTTTCCCTTTTTGATGAATTTCATTGCTGTGTCACCAAAATTTATTTCTTTATATGCTTTTACTGGCTTGTGTAGCAATGAATTGGTAAAGTAAATTACGTATTGCTATTGTTGTTATTAGGGCATACCATTATTTACCGGGAGCCTGGTTCATTTTATATGAGATTACGTTGTTATGATATTTGTACTTTTTTTGGGTATGTGTTAGGATGTGTGTACTTGCGGTACATGGAATGCATGTTGGAGTTTAGGGTCTTTCCTTCATTCGTAGCACGGGTAGCGGGGGTGTTGTAGTGTCTTTTGATGGATGAAATAGTCAGTAATTTGGTGGTTTAGTTATTCATATTGTAGCGGTATGGGTGACTTGTAATTAAGAATAAGTTATGTGATGCCAATGTGCAAACATAGTGGCAAGCTTGGTGTTTTTAGTTTTCACGGACAAGCAGTACAAGGGTTAGAACTTTTGTGAACAATTTTGAGTTATTACTGGACAGTGCATAGCTGTTAACCGGCAATGACAGCCATGTAGCCCATGCTCTAATTGTGGGAATGAGTTCCATTTGCTTCTTTAGGATTCCTCAAAATCCTGTTATTCCTTCAGCTTAAGCTGTTGACTTTGTGTCTTTTCTTTTCTTGGTTACCAGCTTTATGTTTTGTTTTGGTTTTGTTTTTTAATATTCTTTTTGGGTTGTATTGTTCTTTCAAATTATGCTGCAAAAAGTGGGGGGTCTCTATGAATAAAACGTCCTGTAAGATTATTAAGAATTTGACAAGAAGTTTGTAATTTCATTGCACAGTGATGTTTACAGGAATTCTCATTCGATTTATTCTGTGACTTCCACGATGTGTGACTTCCCTATTTGAATAGCATCCAATCAATAAATATATAAAAATGGAGAAATTGAAAAAATAGATGATTAATCACAGTTCTTTGAATAATATTTACTTGCAAAATCAATATATTCGAAATATATTTATTATGCCTGCTTATAAATTTACTCAAATAAAATCTCAGAGAAATAACTTATGTTTATGTAGTTGAGTCATCTTTTATATTAGTCGTCCACATTAATATACTAAAAATATTTGTTTGATCCTATGTTATATTTGAGAATAAAGGACATTGATAAGTCCTGCTTCTTTCTTTACACATCTTCCTTCGTTTCAGTTAGGGGGAAAAAATTTAAAACTAAAGCATGAGGGGGTGCCAGCAGATCACATAGAAAGTTTTAAATCCGATGCTCCCAAAAACGCATTTAATGTAGGGAACGATGGGCCCAACATTTGTAACAAATGGTTATGGGATTTGGACCAGTTTTGTTGTCATATTCACTTCAGAGCCTTCTTCAGTTCGGTGGAAAAAGTGAAGCAATTCAGTGCTTTGGCCGATTTGGAGGAAGACGTCGGATTTTTTTATAAAAAATTTAATATAAATAAAGTATATAAACCTATATTAAAATAATAAAAATTTTAAAATAAAAATTCAAAAAAAAAACAAAGAATATAAAAAGACAATTATGTTCTTTGGCCGAAGATTCCGAATCAGACTGAAGTGGACTGAAGCAAATAATTGTATTTCAAAAAGACAATTTATGCTTCGGCCGAAGAGGCCAAAGCTTTGGTCGAACAGGCTGAATCAGCACTCCAAAGCGACCCGAAGCAATCTGAAGCTGATGCACCGGAACTTCGATTTGCTTTGGTCTAGGCTGAAAAACCGAAGACTTCGGCGAAAGCGAAGCGAATCTAATAACATTGATTTGGACCTCTCATCAATGAGAGGATCTCTCTCTTTCTTTTCCTCTCTCTATATTACTTATTTTCTTGCTTCACCTCATGCTTCAGTGTTTTTTATTATTTTATTATTAATAATGAAGCAGGCCATGTGAGAAAACTGCAGGACTTGTCAGGATTCAATCCAAATAATACTCTTTATTGCCATTTACAGTGTAAGATCAAACAAATATCTTTAGTATATTATCGGGTTGGACTTGTATATGAGAAGACTCAATTATGAATTATTGCTCTCGAAATTTATTTGAGTAAATTTATTGTAAGTGTAATCCATGTGCAAAACATTGGATTCAACTTCCTAGGTAGCCGCATGGAAAAAGAGTTGCACGATTTTTCACCCTTATTCTAATGGGAAAATTGAATGACATTCAATTTCTTCCACACATCGAGGATTTCTCCGTCTATTCCCGACAACATCCAACATCTTGTTACATCTGTCATCTCTCACTTGTCTTGATCATTTGGCTCATATGCCAGCATTGCAAGTAGCAACCGAAAGTTTTCTGCCTCTTATTAAAATCTAAATGCATGTAATAATTCCCCAAAACTGCCTCTCTGTCTTTAATTACAGATCTTTAAACTATAATGATAATTATGTATTCTCAAGCTCCTTCGGAGAAGTGCTGACTACCCACATCTTTACCTGCATCATGGATATTCTATCACTATACCTTCTGAGTTTTAATTCTTGAATCATTATTGTCAAATACACCTTTTTTTCCCTCACCAGATCTTTCTGCTCACCTCCTATGTGTGTGATGTGCTGGTCCAGTTATTTAGTATTCCACAAGAGGCTTTCGTGATGAAAGGATTTCCCCTCTTGCCCAATCTGTTCTTTTCCTCAATTCTTGTTCTTTTTTATTGGAAAAATAGTAAAAATATTTCTCCCATTCTTCTACTGGCCTCCCTATTCTTTTTAAATTTATGGAGGAGTCAAAATTTCAGATCCCCCTTGAGTTATCCTTTCCCTTTAATTCCCTCTGTTGAACCCTTTGGTTCCTTGTTTCCTCTTCGATCTGTGCAGGGTCATTACTATAATTTTTTTGTCCTGAACTTGTTCGATTTATCTATCATCCAGTTAGGACGCTCAAATACCAACCGTACGAGGGCTGTATAAGCTCTTTATAAACATTTCCTACGTTGAGAGCTTGCTTTGTTCTTTGTTTATATAGTAGTGTATGCCTACATTGAGGCCTTAGCATATTAGTTACAAAAGTGAGATATAATCGTAATGTACAATATATTTCCATTTAATGGTTACCAGTTGGTTGCTTGTACCACTTTATACATCAAGTTTTATGTTTTATCTGCTTTATCATTTTACATGTTGATAATTGACTTGATATATGTGAATTTAGCATTCAGTTGTTCGGCATAGGATTGAGTTGTTTTTGCTTGTTATTTGTGTCACAAATTCATTCTAAATAGTGCCTTCTTTATTAGTTAGTTCGGCGATAGGATTCGAACTTGGGATGTGGTGTTGCATTGAACACCTTAACTAGTCATCACTACAAATGTTTGTCCTGAACTTGTTCTGAGTTATCTTTCATGCAGTTAAGAAGCTCTTCTTTACTGAAGTCTCTTCCAGTGCCAACCTCACAAGGGCTGTATAAATCATATTCTTTATAACATTTCCTATGTTGAGAGCCTACTGTTTTCTTTGTTTGAACTGTATTGTATGTTATTGACATGGCTATCAAGAGCCTTACATATTTGGGTACAAAGCAGAGATTTATTTGGTAATGCACAATTTATTTTCTTTCAGTTGTTGCCAGTTAGTTGCTTGCAGCACTTTATGGCTGGAGTTTCTGTTTTTTTGGCTTTATCATTTTCCATGTTGTCAATTGATTTGATATATGAGAATTTGACTTTCAGTTGTTTGGCATAGGATTGAATTGGTTTTGTCCATTATTTGTGAGGCAAGTCCCTTCCTAAACAGTGGCTTCTTTTGCAGTTAGTTCAGCAATAGGATTTGAACTTGGGATGTGATGTTGCAATCAACACCTTAACCAGTCAACCGCAAGCCTGAATCCTGAACAATGATCCAACACCTTCTGAAATTATTTTCATTGTAGTTTGGGAAACAGGATTAGTCCTTCGAACTTTTCAAAAGAAAAAAAAGAAAAAAAAGAGGATTAGTCCTTCGCATTAGTTTTAAAGTTGGCACACGCTCCTTGGTGCTATGAGGTGGCCAAGAACCTAGGTGCCCTGCCTTGCTGGGTTGGGATTCCCTGGGCAGGGTTCCTATCGACGTCTACTTCGTGCCTTGGTAAAGGCAGAGGACAATAGGACACTTGGAATATGTGTGTGTGTTGTGGAAATGTTCATACTGCCCCATGTACTCTCTCTTTAATCCATATCCAGCACATTTTGTGAAATGCTTGTAGGGCATCTCTTTCTTATCAGCCACTTGAGGACATGTCTCTTTCTTTGTCACATGCAGACATGGAAATCATAGTGCCAACTTCCCTCTCTCTCACTCTCTCTCCCCCCCTCCCCTTAGCACACACACACATAGACCAGGTGGCTCTTTTTATGTTCTAAGCGTAGTTGTTGGAAACTCCTGGGAACCTGAGTCGTTTCAGGAATCAGAATCGCAGCTGCCTAGAGATTTATGTTTTAGGAATCGACATCCTTACAATAGGAATTGTGGGGAATGAGATTCTTAATTTCTTGGAATTGTGTCTCGACCAATATAGATTCAAGATTCCTCCACATCTCGAATCGAGATTCCAGCCTCCTTGGAATCGAGATTCCCATCCCCCTAGAATCGACATTCGAGGAGTCAAGGTTCATTGATATGTGGAATCAAGATTCCGACATCTATGGAATCTAGTTTCTACAAATGTAGAACAAAATATGTTATGCAGTTTAAATTGTGATTCCAACATATTTGGAATCAAGTTTCTGATGTATATGGATCAGAGATCCATACCAGTTCGATATCGTGAATTACAATAGTATGGAATGCGTTTGACCCCTACGAGGAATTGAGATTTCAATCTTATGGAGTAGGAAGCCCCTTACATATCTTGAGACTTATCAACTTTAGAACCTATATCAGATGTCTCTTTTCAAAAGGGTTTCCAAATTTTAAAGTGATTGTGTTGATTCTCCCAAATTTATATACAAAAGATATGTATTTCTAAATTGTGATTTTGATTTTATTATTATAAAGGCAACATAGGATTATGTCAATGCCATGGTTTTATTTGTATGTGTTGTATTTACTAGTTACATTTAAAGTAACGGCCGTCCAGAGTAGCACAACTAAAAATATGAAACCTTGATACCATTAGAAGCATTTGAAGGAAGATTTCTACTCCAATTTCCTTTAGAAAGTGCACAACCATCATAGACATTGGAAATTATATACTTTGAAATGTTTTTTTTTTCTTTGTATTTTTTTTGTTACATCTATTATATTTTATTTCCTTTGTTAATTTTTTTTCCTCACATTCACATTTTACGATAATAGTAGAGAAGAAATTAAGTTTGAGCGCTAAACATCTATGAATACATATTGCATGAAATAAAAAGCAACACACATGGATAAAGAGAGAGATTTTGTTGTCGAATGGTAGCTAGAATTAATATATTATGTAATAAAAGAAAAACAATACAATACTTCATATATAGCTTTCAGTTAATGATGATGGGAATATTTATGGGGACCAAGGGGTTGGAGGCGTGGGGGAGAGAGAGAGAGAGAGAGAGAGAGAGAGAGGAGGAC